GATTATGCGGCCACGGTAATAAATGTTAATAAAGCCTTTCGCTCTCCTCTCGTGCTTTCTGCAAACGTAACGAGCACGAGTCGGAACCGATAAAATAGGTGCTATCGTTGGAATACGCGCTTCGAGGATAACGTAATGAGATAAACCGTGGAAACCGAGTCTCTGTTAGCTCTGTTCCTCGAATCCGAACAAATGCACTTTTCCGGTTAATTTATCTCTTCTCGGCATCTTCTCTCCTCTTCAACCATCTGATCGGTAAACGATACCAAGAAATAAGGAAGATTCTCGTCGTACGGGGAAGAATATTTTTGGTACTAATGTCAACTTTATTCTCATTTATTCCGTATGGAATGTCTTGCATTCGTTTTGAAATACGAATTATTTGGAAAAAAGCACGGTCATAAATTCATTGGATCGATACCAACGGACCGTTCTCATCTTCGCTATATTATTGCGGAGAATTGTTGGCGCGTGCACATGCACCCCTCCCCACGCCAAGTCGAATTTATCAACGGTATAACTATCGGCGGTCGGCGTGGCTTAAATGGCGCGTACAGAGGGATGAAATCTTGAAAGCAATAATATTCACACCCTGACCGGGGCTGCGCACGAACAGCGCCACTTTTTCGTCGATAATCCTCCCATCCAAGGTCCACAGGCCGATTTCCTATACCCCAGAACCGGTCTATCTATCCTACGTGTCTGTAGGGTAGTTTATTATTCATCGAGCTTGCGTCCTCAGCGTGGATAAACGGCGCATTGTTTATGCATTAGCCTACACCCTGCCTCTGGCCATCTCTCGATCTGGCCATTGACTAGATTCTCCTCCCTTTTCTCTCGCCCATCAAACTTGCTCGATTAATTGTGCCTATGTTTAACGCGTTATCAAAATACAATGACTTTGATCGCCCGACTACGATCCCTAAGTTTTATTTTCTTTCTCGTGACAGATTTTTCGAGGGAAATATCAAATATTGGGGGAATATCTAAGAGGTATTTCTCTCGAAATCGTCTTTTTACGATTCCTTCGATATTTTTCCTCCTGTTTATTCATCACGATAACTACTTTTAAGATGGAGGAAGAGTTTTGAGGATCATTCGTTAAAACTTCGAGAAATGATCCAACGGAGCGGTCTTAATGATGCTTCTTGCAGTCCGTGCTAATATACTTCTTTCAAAAGGAAAAATGTTATTTACGGCGCGTTTCGCGGGAGGATAATGAATGAATCCAGAGCGAAAATTGAATGGAATAAAGTACCGAACGTTTTTCCGTCATCGTTTGAATCGGGCTTCGCGCAGATAAGAAGCGAAACGATTAATCACGAATTTCTGTCGCGGACAATCGGACTACGAAATACAGCCGGGGCAAAAGGAAGCAGACCGCGTCGTATGAATAAAATAACCATTAATTCGAACCTGGTACGCGGCAGGCTAGATACAATTCCAACGGAGGAAGGGGGGAGACGAGCCGCAATTGCGAAGCTCTTTTCTTTCCCGACGAGTGTCCCCGACTTGTGTCCGAAAAATGGGACGAAGTTAACGAATAGTCTCGACCCGTTCGTGTTCACGCTTCGATCCTCGAAGAAGAATGCATTCTCATTCTCATAGAAATCGATCGATCGCGATCGTTTTCAAAAAATCCAAAACTTCAAACACGTCTAATCTTAAATTATCTTAGACCCGATGCAATTCCCAAATCGTCTTTTCGTTTTGCAACCACAATTCATCTAGCGACGAAACGTCGAGAATTTCAGCTTGTTCCGTTCCAAAAGAAAAGAAAAGAAAAGAAAAAAAAATGGAAAGGAAAACAAGAAGCAAGCTCCAGATAAATTCGCTTTATCAACGCCACGGATGCTACCACGAATAACCGCAAAACTAATATTATCATCGCTCCAACAAGTGGCGGCGAGCGTGTCGTTTCGCGACAACGATCCTTCCATAATTTCGCGACCTTTGTAAAAATATCCGAGCGAATATGCAAATTCTCGATAGAGTTCAAACGGTCGGGTGTAGAGTTGGCAGAAATAAGCAGGGGAACGTGTCGCGAAACGACGAATTTTCCTTCGACCCTGACTCTCTCCTCTCTCTCTCTCTATATCTCTCTTTTCCCTCTCCGTTCGCTCAACGTGTTACACCTCCAACTTTTTGCCCGGCCGTTCGGATACGCAACAACACAATCTGGCTCGGCACGGGTCTTGGCAAAACAATAGTTTCAACCTGTAATCCTGGACCGTGTTTTAATCTGAAAGAACCCTGGTACGCCGCTGATTGCATTGCATAGTAATCTTAGTTTTTACCGTATCCTCGGATTGCCGCAAGGAGTACCCACCCCTCCCTCTCTCCCTCTCTCTCGCCCTCCCCTTCGCGCAGAGTGAATATCGGGGTCGTGAACCGCATTATACACGCCATCGCGTATAATCGCGGCCAAGAATGGAAGGATTCGAATGGAAGGAAACAGTGAAGGGGAGAAAAAAGAAATTTTTCACGGTAATATCTGGCGATCCTGTCATCGATGGCTTTCATAAATCGACCATGAAATCGCGATTTCTGAACGACCATTTCTATCTGATAATCTTACCCCGGCTCCATGGAGGTTACTTTATGAACCGTATTGGAATCGATTCTATTCTCACGGCGAGAGATTATGATTACGAGAGAGAGAGAGAGAGAGAGAGAGAGAGAGAGAGAGAGAGAGAGAGAGAGAGA